CATGGTCGCGTCATCACGTACGTTTACTTTCGAAAATGTGTAATTACGAGTTATGAATGAGACTGAAATGAGTCTGTAAGTTTGGTTGAATTTGAGAATTGCTTGAGTGACTGTTTAGAAATAATTATATTAAAGGGATGATTATGATAATTTTTTTTATCGTCAGTTGATATTTTTTTGTTCTGAATATTATGGTTCTTTATAGTTTGTTATTTTCATTGTGGATGGTGTTCTTATTGATATTATTATTATCAGCATTGCAATCACTATTTTTACTAATTTTCTTTTCTTTCCTTTTTTTTTTTTTTTTTTTACTCCTCCCTCTGCATCACCCTTTTCTTCCGTTTCCTTTCTTCCTTTTCTCTCTGTTCTATCCCTTTCTTTTCTCCATCCCTCTCTATTCCCTATTTTTTCCATTCTTTCTTTTCCCTGTCTTTTCCCCTGTCTCCTCCCTCCTCCCCTCCCCTCTCCCTCCCCCTCCCCCATCCCTCCCCTCCCATACCTCCCTCTACCTCCCTTCCCCCTCCCTCTACCTCTCCCTACCCCCCCTCCTCTCCTCCCCCTTCTCCTCCCCTCTCATCTCCCCTCTCCCCCCTCCCTCCCTCTACCTCTCCCCCCTCCTCCCCTCCCCCTCTCCCTTCTCCTTCCCCTACCCCTCCCCTCCCCTCCCTCCCTCTCCATCTCCCCCCTCCCTCTACCTCTCCCACCACCCCTCTCCCCTTCTCCTCCCCCTACCCCTCCCCTCCCCCAGCACTCCGAGGACCCGGCATTTTCGACAACGCGAACGGCGACGCAGTCTACAACGGCAAAGTGGCCTCGAACGGCGGCTACCACGAGAGCAAGTCCGGCCTCAACGTGAACGCCCGCGAGTTCGTCTCCGTGAACACCGCCCGGCCGCCGCTGCAACACTCCAAGTCCTCCAGCAGCGTCCCTCTGCAGGTGGGTGCGCGGTGGGTGCGCGGGGGGGGAGGGCGGGAGAGGAGGGGTGGGGGTTAGATTTTTTTTTTTTTTTATGGGGGGGGGTTGAATTGTTTAGATAGATGGATGGATAGATAATAGATAGATAGATAATAAGGGGGAGTGGGAATAGTAGAGAGAGAGAGAGTTGATGAAGGGAAAAGGAGACTTCCATATGCTTGGAAAGTGAAGTATAATGGATGCCACAACCCTTTTTTTTCTCTTTTTTTTTATAGAAGTTACAGAACTATTATTCCCTAACCAAATCTGACGATCATTATTTACAAAATTGGCCAAAGCGTCGCGGTCACAAGTAAAACTCGGGGTTGATTTACATTTTCACTTTTTTTTTCTTTCTTTCTTTTTTCTTTTTTCTTTTTTTTCTTTTTCTTTTTTTCTTTTTTCTTTTTTTTTTTCTTTTTTTTTCTTTTTTCTTTCTTTTTTTTTTCTTTTTTTTTTTTTTAGGATGACACCATAACAGGTTTGTCGAGCCTGAAGGTTCTCGGAAGGGAAAGGGTTGGCTCTGATTTCATTTCTTGTTGAGGAAAGAGAAGCAGTTTCGCAAGCCACGCTGCAATATTTTGACACTTTGCAATCTTCGTGAGGAGGATTTTGTTTGTTTGTTTTGCTTATTTTAGATTACTGGCTTATTGTTATTGTTATTATTATTATTATCATTACTTCTATATTTTATTATTATTATTATTTTATATTATTATTATTATCATTATTATTATGAACTTCGTTAAATATGCATGTGTGTATATGATTATACCATATTTAGATTCATTTGCTCTGATATGGGCGGCCTGCATGTCTGTTTCGAATATTTACCTATGTTTCCCTCAATGATCAAGAAGTGTCCGAATGCTTGCGTTTTTACATCCATGCACACATCATAGGACTTCTCTTGCACTTATCTTCCTCCTCCTTCCCTCCTTTTTGATTATCTGTTCCATTTGCATTTTCTTTCTCTTTGCCTCATTTTTCCTCCTCCAGTAGAGAGATCTTCCTTTCGTCCAAGACCCGAAGTGCATTTTCAATCTCTTCTCTCCCTTTTTCCTCCTCCATTGGAGACATCTCCTCCCTTTCGTTCTTTGTCTTTTCCTCCTTTTTCCTCCTCCATCAGGGACGGCATCTTCCTCCCTTACTGCATTTTCTTTCTCTCTTCTTCCTTTTTTCTTCTCCTTTAGAGACATCTTCCTCCCTTTCGTCCAAGACCCGAACTGCACTTTCTCTCTTTCCTCCTTTTTCCTCCTCCTCCAACAGACACGACATCTTCCTCCCTTTCTTTCAAGACCCGAACTGCTTCTCATCCTCTTTTCCCCCCTTTCCCTTCTCCAACAGACACGACACCTTCCTCCCTTTCGTTCAAGACCCGAACTGCCTTTCTCCTCTCCCCCCCCTTTTTCCTCCTCCAACAGACACGACACCTTCCTCCCTTTCTTTCAAGACCCGAACTGCTTCTCATCCTCTCTTCCCTCCTTTCCCTTCTCCCACAGGGACGACACGACGGGCTGCAGCACTCCAAGTCCGGCAGCAACCTTCGTCAGAGCAGTAACGGGGAGGTGCGGCCCCCGAGCGGTTCCCCCCCCAGGGTACACTTCAGCGACGACAAGGAGAATGACCCACAGCTCAAGGTAGGGGACTTGGGGCGTCGTTGGGAGGGGGGGAAAAGAGGGGAGGGGGGTGAAGGAGGGAAAGGGGAGGGATGGGAAGAGGAGGGAGGGGTGGAGGGATGGGGATAAAGAGGGAGGGATAAAGGAGTGATTGGAAAAGGAGGAAGGGATAAAGAGAGGAAGAGAAGGAGGAGAATAAAGAAAGAGAAAAGGGAAAAAGAAGAAGGCGAAGACGGAGTGAAAGGAGACCTATATGGGGGAAGACGAAGCATAGAGAAGGGAAAGAGGGAGACATTAGGAGAAGTAAGATAAGGAAGAAGAGAAGAAGGAGAAGAGAGAAAGGCGGAAGGAGAGATCACATGCCTGTATCTTTGGTCTTATACGTGGGATTTAACTATTAATAAAGAAAAAAAAATAATGATTAGCAGAATAATTATTATAATAATTATGATGTTTTTGATAATTACGATGATGATCGGATAGCTAATATAAAGAGTGGAAGAATGGAAAGAAAATCTTGACGGGTTTTCTGGCTTTGCGATGAGATAATTGCAAGATTTTTTGTGGTGAAAGAAATCATTATTAAACGTGATCAGAAGGCAGTAATTACACAGGGAGAGACTGCACGATTTCTTTTCTTGATTAAAAAAAAAGAAAAGAAAGAAAGAAGAAGATAGAACGTAAAACACGAAGACTTTGATATTTATCTTATGGATGATGGCAATGTAGTTATAGGTACCGCTATAGAAAGGTTGATTAAGCTTACTGAACGCCAAAAATTATTAAAAAATGAAAGGTTTAATGATGACTTTTGACTGAATTCGGCAACGTCATACTGGCAGCGACCACTTCATACTTGCGGCCAAAAATGCCAGTTGTAATGCAAGACCTGCAGTTGCATTTATTGTTTTCAATTTGAGTGACTTGTTTCTTTGGTGATTGTTGCATTTTTCTTCGGGGTCGAATTTGAATTCTTCTTCTTCTTCTTCTTCTTCTTCTTCTTCTTCTTCGTTAATGTAACTTGTTGGTATTCTCGGCCATTTAAGGTGAATAATACTCATTTTTTTTTCTTCTCATTCTCCCCCCCCCACCACGACCTTCACCTCATCCACTCCGACTAATCCATCCACCCTCCCCCCTCCCCCCTCAACTACTCCCCACTCCACCCTCTACTCCCCCCCCCACCTCCCCTTCCACCCTCCACCCCCACCAACTCCCCAATCTACTCCCCACTCCACCCCCCCACCACAAACTACTCCCCCACCACCACCACAAACTACTCCACCCCCACCCCACCACAGATCTCCCGCCCTCCTTCCCTGGCCGTGGGGGCACTGAGCCAACCGGGCATCAAGCGATCGAAGTCCCTCGGATCAGCTGATCTGCGCGCGACCCAGCTGTTGGAGGCGTCGACCCCGCCCGCCGCCATGCCTGACCTGGGGCCATTCTCACCCGACGTCCAGGGCGCCATCACCAAGGCCATGACAGGTGAGGGGTCAAGGAGGGAAGGAAGGGAAGGGGGGGGAGGGAGGGAAGGGGGGGGAGGGGGGGAAGAGGGGAAAGGGAGGTGGAGGGAGGGAAGGGAGGGGGGGGAGGGGAGGGAGGGGATGGGAAGGGGGAATGGGGGACGAGAGAAAGAAAAGGGTGAAGACAGACAGACTGTGCGTGCTGTGTGTGTGTGTGTGTGTGTGTGTGTGTGTGTGTGTGTGTGTGTGTGTGTGTGTGTGTGTGTGTGTGTGTGTGTGTGTGTGTGTGCGTGCATGCCTGTGTATGTGTGTGTGCGTGCGAGTGTGTGCCCGTGTCTCTATCTTACCCACCCGTCTGCTTGTCCGAGTGCAAGAGAATGCTTACGAGTGCAATCACGCCCGTACCCATGCATGCCTGAGTAAGCCCTTAAGACGTGGATCTCTTGCCAAAGCGCCCACTCACCGCCCGCCATTCCCGCCCGCAGACCCGAACAGTGTGAGCGCCCGCCAGCTGATGGAGGTGGTTCGCCACGTGTTCACGCGCGTGGTCGAGGCTTCGCGCCACGCGACCCGCGGCCAGGCTCTGCATCTCGATCATTGAGGTCAGTCACACACTCATTCGCTCACACTCACTCACTCACTCATCACTCAACTCACTCATCACTCACTCATCACTCACGCACTCACTCACTCACTCACTCACTCACTCACTCACTCACTCACTCACTCACTCACTCACTCACTCACTCACTCACTCACTCACTCACACACACACACACACACACACACACACACACACACACACACACACACACACACACACACACCACACACACACACACACACACAACACACACACACACACACACACACACACACACACACACAGCACACACACACTTTGCAAGACGAACCACAACTGAAATAAACCTGATTATAATACCTGTAAAAACCCACCCACGAAATAAAAAAAACAATGAAAGGTAAAATTAACAACAGACAACTAAATAAATAAATAAAATTAAAAAAACAAAAAAAAAAAAAACAAAACATGCAAGGCAAAATTAAACAACATAAAACAAAATAGATAAAAAAAAAATGAAAATAGATTTTTTAAAAATCCAATGCAAACAAAAAAACAACACCTAAAACCCCCCAAAACAAACCCAACCATTAAAAGAGACTTCCTTCCGTTGCAGAAAGAGAAGAACGAAACATTCCTGGAGACGCTTCTGAACACGTGTCAGGAGTACTTCCAAGAGCGTGATCGCCTCCTGAGGAACAACCCGCCAGCCCCTTACCCCGGCTTCGTCCCCGCGCACCCCAGGTGGATCGCGTACATGACCTTCCTCAATGAGATGTATACGCAGGTGAGAGAGAGAGAGAGAGGGAGAGGAGGGAGAATGGTGGAAAGGAGGGGAAGGGAGGGGGAAGGGGGAAAAGAGGGAGAAGGGGAGGAGGGGGAAAGGAAGGGGAGGAGAGAGAAGAGGAAAGAAGGGAAGGGTGGATCGCGTACATGACCTTCCTCAATGAGATGTATACGAGAGAGAGAGGAGAAGGGGAGGGGGGAGAGGAGAGAGAGAAGGTGGAGGGGGGAAGAAGGAAGGGGTGGAAGGAGAGGGGAGAGAAAGAAGGGGAGGGGTACATGACTTTCCTCAATGAGAATATCGCAGGTGAGAGAGAGAGGGGGAGAGGAGGGAGAAAGAGGGGAAAGAAGGGAGAAAGAGCGGAAAGGAGGGAGAAGAGGGATAGGAGAGAGAAGAGGGGAAAAAAGAAAGTGAGTAGGGTCCATGACGCAGGTGAGAGAGAGAGGGAAAGGAGGGGAAGAGGGGAACAGGAGGGAAAGGGTGAGGAGGGGAAGAAGGAGAGGAGGAGGAAGAAGGGAGAGAAATAAGGGAAAAGAAGAAGGGGAAGAGGGTACATGACCTTCCTCAATGAGATGTATACGCAGATGAGAGAAAGAGGGAAAAGGGGAGAGAGAAGAAGGGGAGGAGGGTAAATGACCTTCCTCAATGAGAAGGGTAGGAGGGGAAGAAGGGGAGAAATGAGAGAAAAGAAGAAGGGGAGAAAGAAGGAGAAGGGGAGAAGAGAGCTGACAAACAGGAACGGAAGAGAAAAAGAAAGAGGAGAAAGGGAAAGGAAGAAGTAAGAAGAAGGAGGGAGAGCTAGAGAGAGAGAGAGCGAAGAAGGGCTAAGAAGGAAGGGAGAGAATGGGAGACCATAATAATGATGATTATAATGATAACAATAATAATAATGATAATGATAACGATAATAATCATAATAATAGAGGGTGACCATAATAATGATAATAATAATAGAGGGTGACCATAATAATACTAATAATGATGATGATAATCATAATGATAATAATAATGGTAATGATGAAGATAATGGTAGACATGACGATGATGCAGGCAGTGCTACCAATGATGATAAAAGTCCCTACCACTGTCTCATGTCCCGCCTCCCTTCACAGCTCAAACGACGGCATGTGCAGCTCATGACGAAACGGATGAGAAACAGTGAGACTCCAGCGGGACTCCTCCTCCTGACCCTCCTCTCACAGTGTTGCCAAGTTTGCCTCAAGGAAAACTCTGTGAATAGTCTTGCAGAGGTAAGTTTGTTTGTTTGTTTTTTGAGGTGTGTTATGTATTGTTATAGTAAGTTTTTTTTTGATAGATTACAGATTCTGTGTTGTTGTTTTTTTATTCAGAAAATGCTCAATAGCTTAAAGTATTATATATATATATATATATATATATATATATATATATATATATATATATATATATATTCAGATTTCATTTTGAATTGCATAAGTAACCTGCTTAAATATGGATATATTCAAAACTTCATTTTAATGCAAATCCACATCTTTAATCATGTTTAATTTTTTCTGTATCATTCTCATGTACAAAATTTGTTTCAACATCTTATCCATATGTATATACAGTATACTTTTTCTGAAATCTACATATACTCAACTTTTAATTATATCAACCACACTGAATCCACGCAACATCTGGAGCCTGTGAAATACATTTTCAGGTGTTATTTTATCATATCTTTATATTTTACATTATTATTTTCACATGACATATCTAAACTTTTCTGAATGGACTCTGATATACTATCAAAATGTTCACTTGACAGATTAAGATTATGTCATATCCGAATATACAGAACATTTTTCAAATGCAGTACACTAACTTTAGCCTAAATTAATACCACAAATACACTGAATCCTCTTCAGTACTACAAGTATCACACAGTCACACATTCAGTATTTTTCAGTATTATACAATCATACACTAAAGCCTTTTCAATATCACACGCTCACACACTGAATCCCCTGTAGTATCACACCAGCACTGAATCTTCTTCAGTTTCACTTACTAACAATATTGCACACTAATACACAATTGTCTTAACCTATGTAGCCCATACACTAAGTACCTTTGACAACAGTGTGTTCATGTACCCTGAAACTACCTATACAACACATCCAAATATCATGAACCTTCTTCAGTAACATGACTATATATCCTGAAACTTTCTCAATAGCATATCCACACGTATTGGACATTCCTCAACATATCCATGCATTGAGAAACTTCCTCAGCAACTTATGTACAGGCCCTGAACCATCCTCAACATGAAACCCTCTCATACTGACGTTTTCCTGCAGACTGAATGCTTATTCTTCGTGCTGACGGGCCTGGGGAAGGACATTGAAGTGGAACTCCCTCACCAGATGGCTAAGGTAATGGGAGCAGCCAGGGACGCCTTCCTCACCACTGTGCGAGTCCCTGCAGTGCGCAAGACCCTCCTGCAGTTGATCGAGATGCACGCGGCAAGGTGGCAGCTACCGGCACCAGCTGTTATGTACTATTATCCAGGGTCGGGGAGTAAATAATGAATTGTAAACGAAGTCTTTGGTTTTGTGGGTCCCAGATGCATTGTTTCCTTTTTTTATATATAAAATCTGGTGCCAAAGGTGTTTTTGTTATGGAAGGAAAAGACTTCGTATAGAAGGAAGGGAAAATAATTGCCATGTTTGGGTAATTGACATGTTAATGTTACTTGTTATTCGCTTGGCCAAAGAATATTCTTTTCTTGAAAGATAACACAAACAACCCCGGTCTTAGCGGTGACATTAACAGGAAAATATTCTTTCAAACAAGTGCCGTAACTTGGCACTCCTGGCCTAGTCATCCTTGTTTGCCATGTCAAGAAACAGAATCAATCTCAAAACAACTGCAAGAAAATTGGTTGTTTGACTACATATGGAGCTTGATGACATTATTAAACTCTTCTCATCATACAGACTCTGCTCTGGAATATGAATGTATATCTTTGGTTTCACTGTCGAAATTTAAGGCTGTTAATCAAAGCATTACATCAAACAACACTGAGCTTTGGCTGTTTTCTGTCACTTGTCCAAATCTTCCCAAAACACTGGCTTTTTTACATTATCAAGAACATATGAAAGGATTTTTTCATCTCCAACTGACAGCATGATCACTACCCCATTTCTCTAAAGCAACAACAGACAAAAGTGCACATTTACAGTGCTTATTGCAAGACCCAAAGAGTTATACAAAACTTGATGAAGAAACGGGAGGCAAGCTACCCTTGTGCCATGTTGTTGTGCTAGTTTACAGTACTCCACTGGGATGACCTTCCTCAGTGGCTTTGAACCTGCCGCCATACAGTGTACCGCCGCTCGCATGTTGAGACTCACGGGACAAGGTTGCCTGTTAAGCATGTCCCAAGGCAGAGGAGGTGTGCTCTGGGGGAACGCCCGCTGTTCCTCGTGAAACCTAAAGCTCTTTTGTGTGCACCAGAAGGAGGGATGTCTTACTCTGACTCCTTTAACGATCGACCGACGTTGATAAAACGATTCTCGATACTTCTCTCGAGTGACAGCCCGTGCGGCAAGGCCCGGGCAGTCATCCTCAAGGTAATGAAGTGGCCAGCTGGAGGCAAGGAGAAGCCCGGAGGCTGTGGGTGTTCTCCGCGGTGCTCCCTCGACGGCTCTTCGTGCAGGGAGCTCACACGCCTCACTGCTTACAAGGTTCCCACACTCGCTGGATCTGAGACAGGGGTGCTGGCAAACTTTTTGAAAAAAGAAAGAGCTGATAATTGTTCCTTATCAAAGGAAAATGCCTAGAAGGTGAAATTAGTTGCACTGAAACACTTAGAAGGGGCCAGAAATGCCAGCCTCGTATATCATCAAATGCACCAATGACCTAGCTAGTGGTGCCAGGTCGTGAGAGTGCCAGAGATGAGAATTTTGGAAGTGGCCTCAAGGTCATTTAGCTTAATCATTGAGACACAGGGACGTGCGTGTCTTGGCAGTTCTCTGCGGGTGTGGCAGCCCTCTCCATGTGGCTCAAAGGCGGTCACTCTAACTGCTCTCTGCTCTACACCCCGGGCCCCTCTCCAGCTGTACCCATGAGCTGTTCTCCTCCCTTTCCCCCTAATCCAGCTGTGTCTTGTGACCAGCTGCGATCGTCTTCCAGAAAGGATCCAACTCCAATGTGACAGCTTTCAGTTGGTTCACCTCCTGCAGTCCTTTCTCTTTCCTCTCCTTGCAATGCCTTGCAAAATTACATGGATCTTACTCCTTTTTGTGACCAGGAAGGACTGGACCTGCACTACAAGAGAAAAAATGATGTAAAAATGAAAAGGAATATACTGAGTTGACTGGATTCCTCTGATAACATCCAGATCAACTGCATTCTTTTGATAACTGATGAACATTTTGTATAATTACAGAAAAGAACACTTTGTGATATGATTTCTATTATTTTTTCCAGATTTCTTTGTATTCATCAGTCAGTCATTCTTTGCCTTTCAATATTATGAATTTATTATAGCTTTTGAATCACGACTTACTGTATTTCTTGTGTGCTGTTGTATTCAGGATACACTTGCAGCTGGATGAGATTT